AGAGAGAGAGAGAGAGAGAGAGAGAGAGAGAGAGAGAGAGAGAGAGAGAGAGAGAGAGAGAGAGTTGACTTCGCCTTTCACCGATGCGGACTTACTTTCTTGTTAATGGTCTTTCTAAGTGCCTTCATGAGGTGCTGGTGATTTTCCACCACTCTGTTGAAGCTTCTCTTTATGACCAGGATGGTTCCCTCGCCAAGTCGAACATCCGTTCTCATGATGCCCGTGCTGCTGCTGTTCAATGTCCATCCCATCAACAAACAGCCATTTCAAGTTTTTTAGTCTCTCTTAAACCTAAACAGTGTAAATACTAAACAGTGAACTAAACACAAATTGGCAATTTCTCATAAGTCTACCAGCAATACATAATCTTCTGCGCATGAGGCATGGGGGAGTGAGCATTCAAGGTATACTCTCATACACTAGTCATCTGGCAATAGATAATCCAAGCATGATGCATAGGAGTGAGCTATTCAAGCTATAGTCTCAGAGTCTCTGAAAGCCACAGTGACTAAGTATCCCATTCTTAGTGCCGGATTCGCAGTTCCGGTCCCACATTCCTTTCACCTGGGACATTGCCAATCCCAGTGTCCCACCATATTTTAAGGGGCAGGCCCCACTGCTGCTATGCGCAGTCTAAGAGATCATGAATGTTGACATTAGCAAGGCTACAAACCAAAAAATGGCACCTGCCTGCCCCGGAGTCGTAATCTCAGACTCTGAAGGGCCAATCCCAAACCTTACACCCCCACAGTTACAAGGCATCGCACACCTCTTGGCGGGGAACAAAAAAAGTTGTTAACTTGTTTAGTCAAAACAGCACGCTAAAGACACAAAGCTTAAACGTCCCATTCCCCGTTAAGCACAGAAACAAAAATTATAATCAAAGCATAAACCCGGAACTACCGTGTACTTTCAACAAGATAAAGGATACTGACCCCCTCCCCCCTCCCCACCCACCCCCTCCCCCAAAAAAAGCCATACCTTCATGAATCACAATTGAAATGCATTTCCAACTTCCAAGTCTAAACGCGAGCCGAGAAAACCAGCCCTCTAACCCCCCAAACCCTAAACCACTCAATCCTAAGCTCTCAACCCTCGAACCCCGGCGCCTACAAAATACAGACGCTAAGCTAAACCCTAAACCACTCAATCCTAAGCTCTCAACCCTCGAACCCCGGCGCCTA